GTTTCGCAACCATGCGAAAGTCAAAAGGTTTCGCCATAAGTCGAAACTAGTTTTGATTTTTGACTATTGACTTTTGATTTAGTATTGACATATAACTTTTAATTTTAGTTTTGACTTTCGCCTCTTCAAAATAGTTTTGGCAACCAACACTACACGTGATCTCACGTATTTATTCTTTATTCACTAATCAATTCATTAATTCATTCATTTCCCTTAATACCTAGTCTAAATCAATGGAATATTAATGAAATCGACTATGTTGGTTTTGAGTTGACAGTTCCATATATGCTCAACGAATTAGAAAAACTTAAACCAAGTGTGGTATTTCAATTCCCTGATAAACAAAAATTAATTAAGGAACATGCCAGAAAAATGAACCTGATACCTATTGAAGCACTATTTGCATTGGCAGAAAAACGTCAACCAGTATCAATGATTCATTCAATTGAAGCATTTGGCAACAAAATAGATTTCACCAAAATTCAAAATGAAGGTTTCCAAGCAATAAATGGTAGTTATGGATCTTCAGCTGCTGCTACTGCCTCCGTGCTTGTTAATTCACCAAATTGGGACTCAAAAGCCTATAAATTTCTACAAAAAATTATCGATAGAGCGCCAGAAGAAGGTACGAGTCTTGGTTATGTGCCAACTATTAGTGATGCTGGTATATTTGAAACGTCTTGGATGATGCAATCGATGATCGACTTTGTTTCAAAGGTTACGAGATTCGACAGCAAAAACAACGACAATATTAATAATAACAACACGTCAGATAACGAACTTATTCAAAGCTTACTTGAAAAAAATAAAAAAACTGTTGAGTTTATTAGACATGTTGCCAATTTGCAAAATGACACCATAAGATGGCCATCATGGGATAGCAGAATTCCGCCAGATGTTGATATCACTGTGACATGTCATTGGATAATAGACCAAATATTTCCTGAAACTGAATGCGATTTAAAAAGATTAGTTGCCACATTTTATAATGGAAGAAACTTTGTGACGTATCCCGGAGAAAGAACTGTTTCCATAAGTTCCAATATACATGCAACAAAGTTGCTGCTTGCAAAATATTCAAGAGGTAAATTCAACAGTGACGAAGACGATTACATTGTTACAATGCCAACAAAAACTGAGGCTGGTAAAAAAATAAAAATACGAAATGTGATATCTACTGTTATACAATTGATTATGGTCAATAGAAGTGAAAAAGCTAATTGGTCAGATAAATGGCATGCAAGCCAATCATACCCAACTTTCAAAGCCAACAACATGTTACTATCATTATTATCGTATCCTGAAATAATGGAGGATTCCATGTTAAATAAAGATAACTTACTTGAATATTGCGCGAAAACAGTTAATTGGTGTCTAGAAACTCAGCATAGTGACGGTAGTTGGGGATTTGCTTCGGAAATTGGTATGGGATCATTGGAAGAAACAAGTTATTGTATTAGATTGTTAGATTATTCCAGCAAATTTTATCCCGATAATTTGGAAATTCCCAAAGCATTGAAGCAAGCTAGACAATTCGTTGTCAGGCATTTGGATGAAGCTATGAATGACGATGAATTTTTCTATCAGAAACAACCACTATTATGGATTGGCAAACAACTTTATTCAGTACCCAATGTAATAAGATCTTCTATATTAGTTTCATTATGGGAAGATCAATAATTGATTATATTTTTCATTTAAAATTTATTCGGAAAAATTTTTTTTATTTTCATTTCAAATCATTAACAATTTAAATTAATATATTCATACATAATATAATATCTCATATGGGGGGTTTTCTAGGAAAAACCGGGTATAAGTCTTTTTTTCCAAAATTGACTTTTTTACATAACATCAATCAGTAACATTGGAACTATAACTGGAAAAATTTTCAAACCATGTTTACTTAATAAAAAAATGAGTAATTGGGCAACAAATAATTTTTTAAATTAATTTGCATAAAATTTAAAATTGATCTATTACCCCAATATTTTATTAGTTACACCAAATTCAGTTAATATTAGTATTAATAATTTATTCAAAATACATGATAAATATTAGTGATAATAAAATTTAATTAGGGTTTGGACAGAGAATATCTTTATATGGATTATCTACATGCTGACGAATGTTTTTAAATAAATATTTTTTTCGGTCTTCTGATAAAGGAACAACTTCAAGAAAATTTAATTGTGTATTTTTATCAAAATTTGTATTCTTCAAAAGATTATAAGAATATTCTTCTCCACCAGATTTTTTTGAAAAATAAACTATTCCAATATTATTTGGCAAACTACTAAAGCGAAAATGATGTTGCTTTTTTATATTTGGTAAAGTTCTAAAATGATCTTTTAACATGGAATTAAAATCTTTCCATTTCCAACCTATCCCATTATTATATCTAATAGATTCATTATGTATAGATGATTTGTTTATAACCATCTCAACATCATCAACAGTATTTATACGACTGTCCTTGTATGCTTTTTTAATTAATCCAAATTCTGCATCACAAATGAATTTTGTGTGTCCAGGTATCATGAAATTTATATAAATATTTTCATACCAACCCAACATTGCTAACCAGGACCAGAACCAAAGTGACAAATTGTTTTTGTTCTGCCCAGGACAATTGTCACATGTAACATAAAGATTTTTTTTACCAACATGACCAATCTTTTGGAGAAAATCAAAAACCATATTCAAGGTTGTGTTAGCCCCCTTTTTTGATATCCCTTCTGGTAATTCATTTTCTCCTATAGTATAATTTGATTGAATATTTTTACCATCATCTGTCTTGCATATACCAAAAAGATGTATGATAAAAGGGGATTTGAAATAGATTGATCCAAATTGTTGAGAAGAAAATGGAGCTGCAACACTTTGGGCCCAATCATAACAAATATGTGTTATTGTTGAATCATTTTTGCTTTTTTCAATTATGTTGTTATAATGACTTCTTTCCTGTTCTGCATCTGTTTTGTGATTTTTGTATTCAAATTTAAGATTTTCCTTTTCATCATCATCATTTGTAAATTTTATATCTCTTTTAAGTGCTTCACAAGTATCACAAAGATCACTTCCAGATGTTTGGAATTTAATGTATGGTGTTAATTGTTGCCATAGTTTGTAAAATGTATTATATGCAATAGGCCTAATAGATTCATATTCTGAATTAAATAAAATTTTAAATTCTTCATATACTGTAGTATATTTCATATAAGTTGGCAAATAGATTATTGCCTCTAATTCATCTCTCATTTTCATAGGAGATGGTAATCCATGTAAATTTGAATATTGCAATAAAAAATTCTTAACTAATTGTGCCATTCCAAGATTAACAATTACACGTGATTTATTTTGAGGAATTTTATTAGTATTACCATGAATACGATCCATCAAACCATCTAACTTAAAATGATTTTGCAAAGCTAATAATTTGTCTTTACTAATACCACATAGTTTTAAAAAAACTGGTTGACAAATGGGTATTGATGAATTATACTGATAATTGTAATTATATTTATTTGTTTTGTCATTTTGATCCTGTAATTTAAAAACCATCAATTGTGTTTTAATACAAAGATCTAGTTCATGTTTTTCTAATCCTTTTAATTGAAATTGTCTTTCTAAAAAATTTTTGAATCCAATTTTTTTAAAACATATCCTATTTATTTGTTTACAACAGCTACAGTTTGATTCTTCAAAAAATAATTTCAAATTTTGGACTGCATTAAGTACCAATTCATTTGGCTCATATGTTTCTAATCCTAAATTACTTGGGAAAATTAAATTTCTGATGATAATTCCATGTCATCTTCTAAATTTGTAATTTCTAAATTTAAATTAGATATGAGATCACCATAAATTAAAATTAAATCTTCAGATGATTCAAAATTTGAAGACATGTTGTAGTTAAACAATTGTTTTTTGATAAATAAGGATTAAGTTTTTATTTCTGATGTTTTATGTTAGATGTTTTATTTTTTTTAAAAAATTATTTGTAAGAAATTTTCACACTATTTATAAAATAAATTAAAACAAATAATAATTTTTGCCTTAAAATTTGGCCATTTCACCAAATTTATTTTTAATAAATTTTGTCTTACCAAAATGAAAACTC